ACTCCACTACTCCAATGACACCAGTCTGTGTCGTGTCGTAAACAGATGCCCTGTTGGTCTCTACTCCACCCGCCTCCACATTTGCACAGACCTCAGGGGAGGAGAGGGAGAAGGTGGCCCAGCCCAGTCCCACTGGATTCTGGTCTACTCCCATAAAATTCGAAAGAAGCACAAATGATAGCTGGTTAGCAGTTTCCCATAAGGCTAAAAGCCTCCTCCCTTCCTTTGGAACACACCATATGTGATTCCTGTGCCTGATCCTACCTGGTCCTTGGGGTCTCCTTGGCTTTGACTGCAGTCTCTCTTGGCCTAATGGAAAATTCGTTCATTGTTCTCATCTGATTCCTAGTGAGGTTCCATGAAATAGATCAGGAGCTGTAAGATCTTCTGAAGTACAGTCATCTTTCTAAAACTTCCTCACACCCAATTTCACCCAGGTTTGGGGGATGCCTTAGTCTTGAATGGGTTCCTAAAATGAGGAGCCAGGCTCACACCAGGACAGACTGCCTCCTCCAGTAATCAAAACCATACCCTTTAGTGACCTTCTGTTTTCCTTCCAGCACTGATTTCACATGCAGGTGATGAGCAAAGGGAAGCTGGGAATGTGCAGAGCTGGTGATGTCAGCCAAACCCGAAGGACAGACAACATTACTCTGAAATGTGACTTTGGGAAGCAGGGGTAGGGCAGCCCCAACTTCCCTAAAATAGAAATAAATGTAATCAGACTAATTGTGGTGGTCATAGGGACTTTCAGGGTGATGATGTTATATGCTGGACTTCTAAATAAATTCTGAAGATACTCTAGGAAATGGTGTGATTTGACTGAAAAGCCCACCACCATGTAATTACTCTATGATAATACCAGTTTTATTTTCAAAAGAAGGGAAGAGAGAGCTGATGAGATGGTGTAGCAGGTTAATTCTCTGTCTGTAAGTCCAGACACCCTATATGGGCACGTGTTTATGTCCCAGCTGCTCCATTTCCAATCCATCTCTCTGGTTATGGCTTGGCAAAGCAGCAGAGCATTGTCTGAGGCCTTGGGCTCTTCCCCAGACATGGGAGGCTTGGAGGAAGTTCCTGGCTCTCTGCTCCAGCTCAGCTCAGCTCAGCTCAGCTCAGCTCTGGCCATTGCAGCCATTTGGGGAGTGAACCAGCAGATGGAAGATCTTTTGTCTTGTCAGTTTCTATTTTTCTTTTTCTTCTTCTTTTTTAACTGTCTTTCAAATAACTAAACAAACCTCTCTCCCTCTCCCCCTCTCTCTCTCTCTTAAAGGAAGAGAGGGCTAACTGTTGTAGCCATTTGGGGAATGAATCAACAAATGGAAGATCTTTCTGGCTTTCCTTTCTTGTAAATCTGCCTTTCCAAAAAGCATAAATAAAACTAAAAATGTTTTTCAAAAAAAAAAAAAAAAAAAGGAGCGAGAGGATGACTATAAGGAGGGAGGCCTGGGAGAGAGGGGGAGGGATAGAGATGCAAATCAGAGACGATGGAGACGGATGATACAGATGTATCAGAGAACTCTCTGGAAGGAAAAGCAACACAGTGAGGGTGGGGAGGAGGCACTGAGAAGCCCTGGCCAGGCTCCAGGAAGGAGATGACGATGACAATGTTATCATGTGTTTCTGGAGGCTAGAACCACAAAAAGGGCCTCGCTGGGATATAATCAAGGTGCCAGCAGGGCCATGTTCTAGAGGTTGCCTGCATGCCTGGCTCGTGACCCCTTCTTTACAAAGGCAGTCATGGTCAGTGGAGTTTTCTCATTTTGTGTCCTTCTGACACACTCCTTTTTGTAATTAGAATGTTTGGAAGGCAGAGGAACTAGATAGAAAGCTACAGATAGAAATATCCCATTCACTGGTTTACTCCCTGAATGCCTGTAACAACTGGGCTGGTCCAAACTCAGGAGCCACGAGTTCAGTCCAGGTGGGAGGCACGGCTCTAACTATTTGAATCATCCCCTGCTATCTCCCAGGATGTGTACCAGCGGAGAGCTGGAATTGGAAGTGAAACCAGAACCAGTTCAAAACCAGGCACACCAATACCTGATGTGAGTATCTTAGCAGCTAGGCCAAACACTCACCCCTCTGACAAATTCTTCTGTCTTCCACATTTAAAAATCTTCGTGGTTACACCTGAGTGAACACAGACACCTCAATATATTGTTCCTCAAGGTCAATTTATCGGTGACCTTACACTTACAACTTTATTTCCCTTTGTCTTAATCTAGTAGTAGCTCTGCGAATCAGAATGTAGGCAACTTCAGGCGGCCACTGTCCTGCCTACCAGGTTTGGAGCTATACTTCTTCTATCTTAGTTGAACTTGGAATCTCATTAGCCTTCATGAATTCTCATATTGTGAAGGGGACTCAGTCATGGATGTGGCTGTGAGAGCTACAGGTGTCCACCCCAGTCTTAGGGGTAGATATTGAGGTGACTGAATGAGTTGGCAGGCCTGAAAGGGCCTGACAATTGGGACAGTGATGCATCCATGGAAACCACTGTGCAGCCGTGAGGGTATGGTGCCTCCAGCATGCTAGCACTGAGCATTCCACTCCAGCATCCCAGCTACTGAGGCCTGACAAAGTGGCTCTCAGTAACATCAACAGGAGCTGCTGAAAGCTAAGGAGCCCTTCCCTACCACACCACAGAAACCCTCCTACAAGAGAGGATGGGGAAAAACCCTCTAAACTGATCCCCAAACATTGAAACTGAAACAAAAACTGGGGTTCAAAATAACCTCTGTTTGACCAACTTTCTAAATAGGCTAAATAGGAATTTGAGGTAAAGATCTAGTTGCTCTAGGAAAATACTGAAAGTTCTTGCTTCCTAACCCCAGGGGAGGGCTGGACCCATGTGTAAGGTAATCAGGTATGTTTCAGCCTGAGGAGCTTCCAGGTCTTGACTCTGGCCCCTCTCACACACTCATAGACTAATGTCTGCCCTCCCCCATTGCATGCTGACCAGAAAGCTGAAACAGACAATTGCATTGGCCAGTGTGTGACCAAGGGCCAGCCCCTGTAAATGTTGAGTCCCGCTTCCCATGAGCCACTTGACTGAGGCATGCATGCCCAAGTCCAGCCTTAGGGGATAGATTGGAGGGTATTACTGTGGCATCTTGCTCAGGAGTTTCTATGGGGCCATTTTGACATGTAAACGGGAAGTCATTAAACTCTCAACTTTTTTTTTTTCTTTAACTGAGTGAACTAAGTCCCCAGTCAGTTCCCAGTGTGTGGGCAGGTTGCTGGGTGGAGTGGGGGAGAAGGTGTTCACCAGGCTGTCCACCCAGCCCTGCACCCCCACAACATACGCTGAAGTAACCTCAAAGAGCACTGGAAAAACACTGGTCGGAGGAGGAAGTTTCTACAAGCCTCAGGCAGACTGAAGTGTTGAGAGTTGGCCTCCACTTCAGAGTAGCATTTACAATGACCCGAGGAGCTAATGCTGGAATGGGAATACCCTCCTGTGGTGCCAGAAGTGCAGGTGCTGGCATCATCGGGCCCTCTGGGGCATGATTGAATTTCTGGCTTCTTCACTGTCAACCAGTGTTCCCTATGTGGCCTGAACTGAGGCCCGGAGTTGGTGGATCCTTGATGGAGACTGGCATTCTGATTGGCAGTCATGAAAAATCTGACTCGTCAAGGAAAATCTTTGCCTTCCACTGGATGCCTTCACTGTTTTCAGAAATTGGCCAAGCTGAAGGACACAAGCAGAGATGGTGGGCTGCCCAGGACATGTTCTTGGGGCCTTTCAGAAAGCATGGACCTACGGGGATCCACGAGAATGGGGTATTGCATTCATCAAGGGATTGTGTACTGTCTACAAAGGTAGGATCCCTGCACCTTACCATGGCCAAGCTGGCAGCATCTGCTGTGTTCCCAGTGTGTGGGTGGCATTCTTGTCTAACCCACTAAGGAAAACGGCTGCTACACCTGGCACACCTAGTCCATGGGAGAGAGCCTGGGCTGCCAGGCTGTATGTTCCTGGTATAATAACTGTTTTAGAAAATCATAGATCGCTGGACTGTAAGAAGTAAATAGACGATGGCTTCTTTATATAGTAAGCAAGAAACAACTAATAATCACAAGACACAATATTATCTAATGTTTATTGTGTGCTTATTACGTGCAAGGCACCGCGCTAGGATACATACATTATCTCAGGTTAATTCTCGGAACAACTCTGAAGGAAGGGGGTGACTACTACCTCCATTTTAGAGACAAAGAGGATGGGGCTCAGAGGTGATAGTTCCCTGCCTGTCCTCACCCAGCATGCAAGGGATCAGTCTAAGGCTTGGATCCCATTCTTGCTGGCCCTAGAGTGTGCATTCTCAGCAATTCACATTTGATGCCTTCAACTCCACTGGCCTGGAAGGGGGAGTGGCACTGGGGGCGTGGTGCTCTTTCTTCCTCAACAACAGATAGGTGGCCAGCAATTCAAGCTCATTCTCTGCAGGGGTCACGCATGCAGCTTGCTTCTGAAAGTTTTTGAGGTGAGGAAAGGGGAGCTTCCGGATTTCCAACACCCTGATAAAGCTCACAAGGGGCTCAGTTCATGTGGGTGAGGGTGGCATGGAGGGAGGAAAATAGAGCTTGATAATACTGTCTTGTAGAAATGAGACTGTGACTTCTCCACTGGTCATTACAACAGAGGGCCACTTCCATAGCCAAAGCATGAACTATAGATACAGCTCAGAGGATCTGTGCAACCCTTTCCCGGCCCCTTGCGGTGGCTCACACTAGCCTGGATCTAAACCAGAGGTCACTGTCCCATTCCAGTTGCTCAGCTGCGGCAAGGGGGAACTCTCTCTCCAGCTGTCACAGGCTAGCAGCAGCAGGTCGGAGGTCCATGCCAGACATCATGAGTGGTTTAAAGCCTCGGCCTCATCATTCCAGGGGTTGGGTGTGTGCAGGGAGATGCAGGCACAGGGGTGCAGCCAATCTGACATTGTTCATCCGGACTCGGACCAATGGTGTCACAGGAACACGTGGCTTTTCTTGTATAAGTTCATCCGCTGTCATGGCAAAGGGGGCGACTGAATTCTGGGCACTGTCTGTGTCTGTCAGGGCTTCCTCCTCTGTGTGGCTGGGATTCCACGTAGGCTCTCTGGACACCTCCTGGACAGGCCTTCTCCTTCCGCCTTAGGAGTGCAGTCTGTTTTCTGCCACAGCGCTGCCTCCACCGCTGATGACAAAGCTCCGTGAATTGGACACCACGAGCCCAGGGGACATCTCCTCTGGGGCTTCCGTGTCTGGTCGGCGGTCCCCACCCACAGGCCCGTGCACGCCTTCCTCCTGGTCCATCATCAGTTCTGCCTCGGTCTCTCCGCACTGCAGCGGTAGCAACGCCTGGTGCCTGGTCAGGGTCTCGTTGCTTTTCTGGGCCTCCGAGGGGTTCTGGCGCTGGGAATTCCTGGGAGTCATGGCGTTCTTCTGGGGTTCATCGAAGCTCAGGGAGAAGGTGACGGTGCCACTGCCGAAGATGACCTTCTGCTTGCATCTGGGCTGGTGTGGCGGCTGTTGCTGCTGCCGCCCCGGCTGGGGCGAGGCCAGCGGCGGCGGTGGCTGCTTCGGCCTCTCGGGCTGTGGGAAGGGGTCTTCGCTGTTGCTCTTGCTGCTGATGGAGGACGAGGGTGTGGAGCCCGTGGAGCCCCCGAGGCTGCTGGAGCGCTTGCGGGAGACGTTGCTGCGACGCAGTGTGGCCCGGGCCGCCACCTTGAAAGCGTGAGCGGCCGTGCTGCAGCGCACCTCCTCGATGGTGTTGCGGGACGGCTTGACCAAAATGATGTAGACCTTGTTGAAGAAGATGCAGGCCAGCAGGCCGAAGCTGGCGGCCAGGATGGCGATCACCTCCACTGCAGAGACAAACTTGCCGTAGGTGCTGGCGTAGGCGGGGATGAAGGAGATCCAGACGATGAAGAAGATGAGCATGCTGAAGGTGATGAACTTGGCTTCGTTGAAGTTCTCGGGCAGCTTCCTTGACTTGAAGGCGAAGAAGAAGCAGACAGCGGCCAGCAGGCAGGTGTAGCCGATCAGGAAGCCCAGGGCCATGAGTGAGCCCTCGTGGCACGTGATGAAGATAATCTCATCCTCCAGCTCGTGGTTGCGGTAGCTGGAGGGCGGCGCCGTGTAGAGCCAGATCCCGCAGATGACGATCTGCATGAAGGTACAGAGGAAAACCAGCAGGAACTGCAGGTTGAGTCCCCACCACTTGCGGTGGAAGCTGGTGGGGATCTTGGCCTCGAACACAAGCAGGACGCGGTTGGTCTTCACCAAAATGCACGAGATACACAGTACGAAGCTGATGCCGAAGGCCGGCTGGCGCAGGCGGCAATTCCAGTCCTGGGGCTCACCGATGAAGAAGAGGGAGCTGGAGAAGCAGCAGAGCAGGGAGAAGAGGAGCAGGTAGGAGAGCTCGCGGTTGGTGGCCTTGACGATGGGCGTGTTGCGGAACTTGATGAAGACGCCCAGCACAAAGGCGGTCAGGAAGATGCCCAGCACGGCAAAGAGGGTGAGCGCGATCCCAAAGGGCTCCGTCCAGGCCAGGAACTCGATCTCCTTGGCGATGCAGGAAGTGTGGTTCTCATTGGACCAGAAGTCATCTGGGCACTTGTCACAGGCACTGGCATCTGCAAAACGTGCGAGGGAAGAATCCGTTACTGCGTGGGTTAGAATAAAATCCGTGAGTGGCCCGTGGGAGCACACAGTCAGCATTGCATGTGGCCACTATGTTTTCTTTGTTGACGAAATCATTCTAACTTTTGCATTACCCACAATGTACTAAGCTCTGATTTCTGTTCACTAACACGAATATGGATTTCAGGTGCCTTTGATGATTCTATCAATTGTTTTGCCTTTTCACCTGGGTGGACAGTAGGTGCTTCCTTTATCTCCTGATTGTAGCAGACACTGCCCTGGCCACCAGCGGTGTAGCATGGTTCCTCAGCTCTTCACAATCTGATTCTGTTCTGCCTGCTGTTTTAATGAGTTGTGCTGTGTGTATCTGAGGTTTACACCATGCTGGTACGGGATACCAGGCAGTTATGATGGCAGTGCAGACCAGCTCAGCTACCACCTGGCTGCAGGCTCATTCAACCCCAACATGGTTATTAGGTCTCTGCTATGTCCCCTGCTCTGTGCAATTTTGGATAGCAAAGGGAGTTTGGGTGTAGACAGCCAGCTACACAAGACCCTAGCCATGTTGCTTGCTGGCTGTGTGGCTTTGGGTTTTCTCAATTGTAAAAGTGGAAGCAATAACAATCCCATTATTGTCACAAAGATGAAATTCAATGACAATTATAGTTAACATTTTAGAATGCTTCCACTATGCCACAGTTTTATTTTTTTTTTTAACAAAGACTTATCTAGGACTCGTCATGTGCTTTACTCATTTGTTTAACTCTCAAAGATCTTTGAGATAGGTTTCATGGTTATTCCTATCTTAAGAAGACTTGAGGGTCAGTAAAAATGTCAGACAATATACACAGTGCCAGACACCAGCAGTCAATCTTATCCTGACCTCTTGCCTCTGGAGTTGGGGGCAGCTGGAACTTTCTCAGCTCAGGGCCACTGAGTGCCAAGAAAAAAACAGCATTGGAGAGCAGCATCAATGTTAAAAACAGAAGGTAGATGCCATGGCATACAGGTTAAGCCTCTAGGTGTCAGCATCCCATGTGGGATTGGGTTGAGTTCTAGATGCTCACTTCTGACCCAGCTTCTGCCTACTGTACCTAGGAAAGCAGCAGAGGATGGCCCACATGCTTGGGCCCCTGCACACACATGGGAGACCTGGAGAGAGCTTCTGGCTCCTGGCTTTGGACTGACCTACCTCAGCTTGTTATGGTCATTTGGAGGAGTGAACTAGTTGGTGTAAGATCTCTCTCTCTCTTTCTGCAACTTCTCCTTTCAAAAAAAGTCTTAAAAAAAGTGAGAAGCAGGGATGTAGCAGGCATGTCTGGGAGCTCTCATGATATTCAAACACCTAACATTCCTTCCTGCTCCCTCTCAGTACCCAGCACTGTCCAGTACTCAGACATAATTTTGTCAGAGGAGAAACCAGGTTAAGTACCACCTCAGTCCATCCCCTCCATGGGTTTCGCTGTGTCAGGCACAGGTGCCCCTCCCTCTGGAAGACCATGTACCACACAGTGCTGGCATGGGGCAGTTCCTTTACCGGTCTCGTCGCTGTACTCCCCATCAGGACACTCCACACACTCAAAGCAGCAGGTGGGCTCCCCTTCAATGATCCCCTTCCTGGTCCCTGCCAGGCAGTCCCGGCTGCAGTTGGAGAAGGGCACCTGGAAGACAGAAGGTACAGGAGTGACTGTGGCTCCTCAGACCTGGGTGACAGGGAGGAGTTAGGCACAAGGATCCGCGTGGCAGGCAGGGGCCCCTTCCAGGCAGAGGAGGGGTGGGGTCCTCGATTTTGTTATTTGTGAAAGGGAGTGATCTCTGTGGGGATTCTGTGATGACTAATTTTTGAGAGTCTACACGTGGTCAATTTCTACTTAAATAATTCACTCTCCCATCAGTGTCTCAGTCCCAGAATGAAACACCTGTTTGTTCTTCATGGATGTAAAAGCTTGACACACATCATAAGGTACGGGAACATGAACTGCCACTCAGAGGAACAGTCACCAGGGGAGAAACTGAGACAGGGGAACTTTGCTTGAAAGTGGGGCTCTGAACTTTGTGGTGAATTGCAATTCCTGTATTTTTATTTTAAGCACTGCAGGGTAATTTCTGAGACCTTGGCAACAGCCCAGTGAGGCACTCGGGAGAGGTATAGAAGGATGTGAAGTAAATGGGTCAGAGAGCAGTGCCGAAGGAAATGCTGTGGGAGCTGCAGGAAATCCTGATTACAGGTTTTATGTACAATTTATAGAATTATTTATATTAATGGAATTCAGGTACACAGTTTTGGTCAATTATAGTCCTTGCCTCTTTCTGTCTTCACTGGCTCATGTTTGGATAAATTTTATTTATAATTTTTATTTAAAAAATCATTATGCATTTGAGAGGGAGAGAGAGAGAAAGAAAAGAGTCAACTCTCATCCATTGCATCACTTCCTAGATGCCTGAAAGATCCCAGGGCCAAGCCAGGAGCTCAGTTCAGGTTTTTCACGTGAGTGGCAGACCTAGTGACTTGGGCTAACACCGGCTGTCTCTCAGGGTCTCAATTAGAAGCTGGAACCAGAACGCCAGGCACTCCAGTGTGGGATGGATGCAGGTGTCTTTCTTTATTTCTTTTAAAGACTTATTTGTTTATATTGGAAAGGCACATTTACAGAGAAGGCGAGACAGAGAGAAAAAAATCTTCTGTCTGCTGGCTCACTTCCTGAATAGCTGTCACAGCTGTAGCTGAGTTAATCTGAAGCCAGGAGCTTCTTCTTGTGGGTGCATAGTCTCCAGGCTTTGAGTCATCCTCTGCTGCTTTCCCAGGCCATAAGGGAAAGTGGGGGCAGCTGGGCCATGAACTGGTGCCCCTTTGGGATGCTGGGTTATGCATGTGGAGGATTAGCCAATCGAACCATTGTGCCGGCTGTGGATGCAAGTATCTTTATGGCTCCTTAAGTGCTAGGCCAAAAGTGCTTGGATCCTTTTGAATTTTATTTTTAATCTCTGCCATTCAAAGAGAAAGCCAGACCCAGGAAAACAGTGTATTGTCCTATAACCAATAACTAATAAGCAATAATCTATAACATCTATCTAATTGTCTGTTTTACTCCATCTCTCACTTCCAGCTCCCCATCACATATTCACACCTAAGAGGACCATTGTTCTATGCTCATTGCAGAAAAGTGGCAATACTAGAGTTTTAAGGAAGAAGTCAATGTGATCTTATAAAAAAAATTTACCTGAGGAGAGGAAAAAGGGCAGGAGTGGGTGGGCATTCTATTACTCATTCGTGTCATTTGGTACAACCCTGCAGAACCAGACAAGAATCATATGGAAAATGAAAATAGCCATGCTTGCATCTCACTGTCTTCACAAGCTGACACTAAGGATTCACCTGTAAGCAGGGGCTCCTGCTGCAAACAGGCAATGGAGGACACAGGACCTATGAAGGGAAAGGGACAAGTGGGAGAGTGTTGGAGAATCAGCAAGGTCCCTTAGAGAAGGGCTTCTGCCTAGTTCCACAGGGGAACTCAGGCCTGGAAGTTCTGCCCTGTGTGCCCTGACTTGATTTGTTCACATCACTCATGCGATAAGATTGTCTTAGGGCATATAAATCCCTAGGTTCTGATACCTTCCTGAGTCTGCAGGCAAGGTGGGATCCCCTGGACCTTAGCTAGACTTTTGAAAAAGACCAGCACATTCCGGTTACTGAAGGCCAAAGTATCCAGGAGCCCTGGAACCGCAAAGTGTGAGGAATATGAAGACTTGTGAAAAAACACCACCACTTTCCACTTTTAAAAGAGATGGAAAGGGCCTGGCACAGTAGCTTAGTGGCTAAAATCCTCACCTTGCATGTGCCAGGATTCCATATGGGCGCTGGTTCATATCCCAGCTGCTTCACTTCTATTCCAGCTCCCTGCTTATGGCCTCAGAAAGCAGTAAAGGATGGTCCAAGGCCTTGGGACCCTACACCTACGTGGGAGACCTAGAAGAAGCTCCTGGTTTTGTATCATCTCAGCTTCAGCCTTTGTGGCCACTTGGGGAGTGGATCAGCAGATGGAAGATCTTCCTCTCTGTCTCTCCTTCTCTCTGTAAATCTGCCTTTCCAATAAAAATAAATAAATCTCTCAAAAAAGAGAGATGGAAATGCTACGAAGATATACCCTGACCATATTGGTCGTGCACCAAAAGAATAGAAAACCTATACATATTATTCATGACATTAAAAATAATTAACAGACACAGGTCATATGGTCAGCAATTGATTTTGATGAACTGCAATGTAAACTAATGGCAAAACTTGGAGAAAAAGGTGTAGGAAGAAATAGCTGTAACTGAAATGGGGTAATATAAACCTTTTCTTATAGGAAACATCATTCTGTATGTGAGAACACCAACAACATTTCCTTGAGAGCAAAGATGTCCACTATCATCACTGCTATTTAGTATTGTGCTAAAGGTGCTAGCTAGTAGATTAAGACAAAAACAACTGCATATATACTGAAGCAATGGAATACATTTGTATTGTTTGCAAGTGATGTGATTGTCAATACAGAAAAAAAAACTCAAAAGAAAACCAACCAATGTATTGGATATAATGTCATAGATGACCACTTTCCCTATCAGCTACATTAGTTTTCCTAATATACACACACAAACAAAACTTGAAACTAGTTTTGTTGGGGGCTTTTGCTGATTTTAAGATCCCTGAAATCTTGGATGGTTTTACTCAGTTTTTTCACTTTTTCCTCCAGTTCTAATTTCTCTGTCATTCTTTCATCATGCTGAGTAGTTAAGTGCTGTAGAAATTTAGTAGCTAACAGTTTATCACATTTCAGAGATAATATGTGGCAAGAATGAGTGTTGATCTCACATTTATAATGGTATGGAGCAAATAAATGTCATTCATCTTTGTAGCTGCAGTGGCATAACGTGTAGCTAAGGCTTAATATACACCAGGACCTTTACTGCTTCCAAGTCTCCCCTCTACCTAATTGCTTTAGGGCATGTCGCAAAATTGAAAACATATAAGGCAAGCAAGCAACTGTCACTATTTCCAGCAGAAAAAAGAAATACTGACTTGACAGAGGAGTTCCAAAACCTGTGAACAGAAGGTGTTCGATATTGTGCTCTAACAACAGCAGAAGAGGGACTTTCTCCCATTGTCCATACCTACAGTGTCATGATACACTGAAGCAACCGAATGACGGACTTGGGCTGTGGCTGAAGAACTATACTACTGTAATAATGTGGAGGAAACAGCGTGGGGGTGGGAGAAATGAGGAGGGGGAAATCTCTCAGCCTGTGGAACTGTATCATGGAAAATAAAAATTACAAAAAAAAATAAGGAAGTAGGTCTTGTGGTTGTTAAGACCCTGGGAACCCTGGGAAATGAAGGAAAGGGTGAAAGAATTCACATGAACACATTCAGTCCTGAAGACCAGTTACCACATGGCCCAGTTTTCAGTCTTTCTTTAGTTACCAACCTGCTTGATTGTGGAGTGAAAGCAATGGATCCTGCTTCCTACACCTGCACCAGGAATGGTTCTAAATTTTTCCTATTAAAGAATGATGGTTGTTACAGCCTTTATCAAGGTAAGACAATGCAAGGTCTGTTTTGTTACTATATTTATGAAGTTTTGTTTTTAATCTGAAAGTGTATTCAATGTTATCAAATACTTTCTCTGTATGTGTTGATGTTATAGAACTTTTTGCCTTTACTTTATTAATGGTGATAAGCTACATGTAGGAACTTTGCTATGTTTGGCTATCATTATATTTATATAAATTCACTGTTTACTGAGTCATGACACACTATTTTATACATTACTGACAGAGGGTTGCTGATATTTTATTTAGGATTTGAACATTTATGTTTATAAACAGCCTAGTCCTATAACTATCTTTGCTTGTGCTGCTTTAGTCTCTTTTTTATATCAATATTTATTTAGTTTCACAAAATGAGTTTTGTTTTCCTTCTTGGCACCAAGAAGGTTGAAATGCATCTGTCTTTCCTAGAAACATTTGTGGGTGTGGTCCATAGTGATCTGCCCCCACCCCCCCATGGTACTGGAGACCTCGACCCTTTCATTTTGCTATTTGGACATGTTTGGTCTTTGCCTCATGGTCCTTTGAAAGAAGCATCTGGCTTCCAGAAAAAAAGACAGAGGTAGGAATGAAGAAAGCAGGAAGCATTATATTTTAAAGAAGATTCCTGGAAGCCATCACACAGCATTTCCACTTACATCGCAACTCACATTTAGCAGAAAAGGGGGCTGGAAAATGTCATCTTTATTCTGGATGGTCATGTGTCCAGCTAAAACAGAGTCTTCTCTTGAAAGGAAAAAGGAAGTCCAAATACTGGGGGCTTTCAGCAGTCTGTGCCATGCTTTTAAATTTCTCTTCTTTATAATGTTTAGGGAACAGGCTCAAGGTCACACAGTGGTCTGGGCTGGAGAGCTGAGATTCACACTGACCAGTCTTTAAAGTCTGCATTTTTCATCACCCCAAGCTCTGTTTCATCCTGGTCAAGGATGAGAAGAATGTCTCCCTCTGCATGCCCTTCAAGTTCAGCATCCATGAGCTAAAGAAAAACCCCATCACCACAGGAATGGGCTGAGGCAGCCACTGGCAAGATTGATTTTGTAAGTATCTTTTAGTCTTCTGCAGCCTCAATAAAGATGCCTGCCTACTTCTGGCCTAGAAAGCACATCCAAATTCTAAGTCTCTGGTTAAAGTGACTCCTATTATCCTGATTTTTTTTTTGTAGCACAAGAAGAAGTATTTGCAGTACATTCTAAAAGATGGAACACTAAGGTTGGGGTTGGGGCATTTGGTGTTTGACCTGAACTCTCACAGTGACCAGTGTGTGGTCCAGGTAGTAACCTTTGCCTCTCTAAAACTCAGTATCACCAACTTCTAATTAGACAGCTGGAGACAGATCTTTAATAAAGAGCCAAGTCTAAAGGGGCCCATTTGTAAGTAAATTTGGCTAAGCTATAATTGCTCTGTCAGTGACAGTTTGCATTTATATAGTAAGATTCAGTTTATCTAATTTTTTCATTATCAGCAATAACTTCATGAGATAGAGAAGCTGTTACTATAAAATTTGTAGTTAAACACAGATGATATGATTGTAATCAGTTCTACAAAATACACAGGAAAGAAACAGTAGACTTGGCCTGAAGATTGACTGGGTGCATCATGTGTGCTGGGCTTCAGCTGAGGCTTCTATGGAAGACCCAGATTTAACCTCTAACTGGGTCAACTGGTCCAGGAAAATAAGAGATGAATTTATGAGGATTCTCTGTATTTTCTACTAGTGTTAAGTCTATGATGTGCATAGCCTGGGAGAAGGCATTACAATTACAGAGAATTGTACAGGAAATAATTTTCATGCAGGAGGGAAAATATGTCCAATTAGAGACAATAAATTATGCACACCAATGGAGGTAGGAGATAATCTGGATAATCTAATAAGGGTAAACAGGTGATATTACAGACGATCAACTTAGGGCTCAGTCGAAATGTGTGATGGTTTAGACAAGTCTGTAATTAGTGGCAGAGGAATACCATCAGAACATTCTAGAACATGCATGTCTTAGAATGGACATTCAATCCATCACATGTCTTTCCTAAGTGCACATTCACTGATTGATGGGCTTCTGGTTGTTAATCAGGCTTCAGGTACAGGGATCCTAAAGAGGCAGGCATGACCATTGTCACAGGCAGTCAGCAGCCTTTGCTTTGTTATAAGTCTTCTGTGGAGTGAGAACAAATTATCCCTCTGCTTTATCAGTCAGACCTGAGCTATCTGGAAGACAGGGAACTGCCTCTGTGTGAATTGTCCAGGGCCAAGGGTAATATCACTAAATGGCTCATCCAGATAATCCAGCTTTGTATTAGACTTGATGGTCTTTCAACAGTTGCTCTTAACAACACAGGTGGGATCCATTCTTTGTTACGCAAAGAAGTACCGGACACTTAGTGCTCCTGAGTACTGAAGGTCATTCGTATATCCTGCTAACTGTGACCATCTGTCCCCAAAGCAGCCCTCTACACCGCACAAACTTGTCTCCCCAACCCCAGGTAAGATTCTTTCCTTGGTTCCAGTTCAGAGCCCTGATTTGAGTGATGTTCATATTTGCCTAACTAGTTTTCTCTAGCTGTGGATAGTTTTAACAACAAGAAAATAAAAACCTTATTCTTTGCAAGGGAATCATATTTGTGAAAAGTAAAACTGTTGCATTTTTTTTTTAAAGATTTATTTTATTTTTATTGGAAAGGCGGATATACAGTGAGGAGAGACAGAAAGGAAGATCTTGCGTCCGATGAGTCACTCCCCAAGTGAGCACAACGGCTGATCCTATGCCGGTCCGAAGCCAGGAGCCTCTTCCCGGTCTTCCATGTGGGTGCAGGGTCCCAAAGCTTTGGGCCGTCCTCGACTGCTTTCCTGGGCCACAAGCAGGGAGCTGGATGGGAAGCAGGGCCGCCGGGATTAGAACCGGCGACCATATGGGATCCCGGGCGTGCAAGGCGAGGACCTTAACCACTGTGCCACCGCGCCGGGCCCAAAACTGTTGCATTATTAACAAAAAAGCATTGGCTCAGGTTCGGAGGGATTCTCTTCTCTATGTTCTACACTTCTTGATTTCACAAGGAGCTCCAGAAATTCAGCATTAGTGAGTTGAGGAAAGTGGATCCATCACTTTGGAGGTCCAGAAGTGTGGCCCAAGGCCTTGCAAAGCCCAGCATGGTTTCCTGGCAACAACAGAGGTGTCTGGCATTGTGAGGGGCAACACATACCTCTCTGGAGAGCCCGCTCCATAGGATCTTCTCCTCGTTGATGAAAAGCCTTTCTCCCTTCTTGGCATAGACATTATAGTATCCAACTTCCTTAAACATGATGGAGCCGTCCTCTGGGGAGAGGTGCCAGTTGATGATGGAATAGTTCCCCATGAGGTCTCCACACTCATCAAAAGTCACCTGCTCCCCCATGTTGTTGGTGAAGTTCAGGTGTCGTAAGTGCTTCAGAACCTAAAGAGGCAGAGAGATGAATGAGTATCAGCCACGGCTGGCCACCTAAGGCTTTATGTGTGCTGCATGGTGGAAAGACTGCAAAGAGATGAAACTACCTTGTTCCAGAAAGTGGGAAGATAATGATGTGAGGAAGAGACCTCTTTTTTAGCTTGCACCAAGGTACTTGAATGTCTTAGCAGGGACTTCGGTAAGACAGGGCTTTACTTATTACACAGATTGTAAGAGGAATAGAAGCATTTTTTTGAAGCTAGGAAAGGGAAAGGAGGAGACCTAGTCTGGCCATTGGCCCAGTGAAGGCTTCTACAGGGGCACCATCATTCTGTGGTGTTCAGAAGGGGTGGGTTTGTAAGGCAGAACCCATTCCTGGCAATGGGTAGAAAGGATGGGCTATGGGGGAAGCCAATGAGGAGCAAGTGGATGTGCTCTTCTCTGCACCTTCTCTCCCTGTGGTACTGCTTCTGTGGAGGTGTCTGGCGGCCAAAAAGCCTCAAGGGTGGGGTCAAAGGACTAAAGAAATGAGGCTGTGAGTGCAGCATGGCTGTCACTGTGTATCAGAGTCATAGTGAATCCTTGAATATGTATCTATAGTTAAAGATTTAGCTATGGCCACAATGACCAGGCCTCAGTGGCCAAGCTGAGAAGGAAACCGGGACAAATTCACTTCACAACCAGACGATCACCTTTCACACTGGTCAGTCTGGAAAAGTGACTCAGAAATCATCATGAGCTACAAGTGTTAAACATTGCAGATCCTAACTTGAACAAAGAAGGAACCAATAAAAATGTATGTAAAATTTCCATGAAAAGGTATAAAACCAGAAGGGATTGACATGCTATTGGTAGCATTCCTCCAACCAACTAAGGGCATCTACAAAGGTTATCATCAGGCCCTGTGGCAAAAGGCAGCATGTTTTCCCATTGTGATTATGAACAAGACAGGAATGTCTGTTCTTATATTGTTTGTATGCCTTTGTGCTGGAGGTTCTAGCCAGTGCCATTCAGATGAATCATGCTGTTTCAGACTGAAAACATAAAGATCTATGTTCTATATTGAAACAAATGCAAGCAAAGAAGTAAATCAAAGGACCAAAATAATTTTGAAAACTAAATTATTAGCACATATTAGACTGATGAACTTGTTTCTGATAAAAGAGTCTCAGGAAGCCCACATCAATTAAATATTAAGAATAATTTAAGATGCAATGGTTTCTGGATCTTTATGCCTCAATAAGCCTGTTTATATTCTTTTTTTTTTTTTAAAGATTTATTTTTATTATTTTTTCATTGGAAAGGCGGATATACAGAGAGGAGAGACAGAGAGGAAGATCTTCCGTCCGATGATTCACTCCCCAAGTGAGCGCAACGGGCCGATACTATGCCGATCCGAAGCCAGGAGCCTCTTCCGGGTCTCCCACGCGGGTGCAGGTTCCCAAAGCTTTGGGCCGTCCTCAACTGCTTTCCCAGGCCACAGGCAGGGAGCTGGAAGGGAAGCGGGGCTGCCGGGATTAGAACCGGCGCCCATATGGGATCCCGGGCGTGCAGGGCGAGGACCTTTAACCACTGCGCCACCGCGCCGGGCCCAGCCTGTTTATATTCTTAACATACTTTCTAAAGAGTTATTTTCCTTTCATTTTTATGTCTTTGCTAATGCATAGGTTAAGCTTTAGTCCAAATTTGTGAAGTCAGAATTGCCGTGGTTTTTATTGGATTAGATATCCCAGTTGCTCCACTTCCCATCCAGCTCCTTGTTTGTGACCTGGGAAAGCAGTAGAGGATGGCCCAAAGCTTTAGGACCCTGTACTCGCATGGGGGACCTGGAATAAGCTCCTGGCTCCTGGCTCCTGGCTTCAGACTGGCTCAGCTCTGGTCATTGTAGCTACTCAGGGAGTTAACCAACAGATGGAAAATCTTTCTCTCTGTTTCCTTCTCTCTGCAAATGTGACTTTTTAATAAAAATAAATAAAATTTTTTAAAAAAAAGATTTTGACCATTTCTCTGAGACCACTCACATGCAATGCTTTATTGTAACCTTAACCTCATTGTTGTTCAGTATTTACCTTTGTTCTATTCTCATCCTTTATGTATTTATTTATTTAATAAATATTTATTAAGAAACTACTATGGCCCAAGCAAACATTGTTCTAGGGACACAATAGTAAAAATATTCAAGACAAAGAGGCATTTGACATACTCCAATTTGGTTGGTTGTGGCCATTCTTCATTACTTACACCCTACTCTTTGTGTCTGTACGTGAACCAGTGTGTCAGGATTCTCTGGCAGAATCCAGAGCTCAATGCTGTGAACGTGTGTCTTCTCTAGGAACCACTGGTGGACCAGTCAGCCAGGATCTAAAAACCATGCACTGAGAAGGAAAAACTGACCATCTGATTCTTTCAGCTCTTACATTAGCCCCATAAGGGAACAGATACCTGGGTAAATGTGGGCAGTCTAAATCATGAGATACATGGCTTTGGGAAAGCCATTTGGGCCCCTCAGGTTTTTTCTTTCCTCCGCCACAAAGGCACAGTACCTGAGGTCAATGCTTACTGAATACTTCTTACGTACTGGCATCATTCTGAGCATTCTATAGATATTAGTTAAGGTTATCTTTGTACTAAATTGAGGAGATATGTGTCATTGTTTCCACTGTTTGGGTGCAGAGAGTGAGGCACAGGGACAGTAAATGACTGCTAAGGTCTTAAAGCTATTAAGTGACAAATTAGTGTTTCAACCAACTCAATTTGATTCAAGAGGATAAACTCTTAACCGTTACACTCTACCACTTATGCATGCATCATTGTGCTTATTTAAAACAGGCAAGCTAGTGTAAAAATTCAGTCCAGCAGATGGATATATTTCAAAATGAAATGGATATATTTCTTTTAACTGAAAAGTGGTCCAACAGAGTGATATCCTGATCTTTACACACAGCCTTGTGCTTTTGCATTCCAGTGACTTTCATTATGTAAGTTCATTGATATTGAATTCACATAGAATACAGTGAATATTATTTAATTCTGTAGTTTTCAGGTTTTATGAAATTTTTATTTGAAAGAGCAACAGAGAGAGAGAAACAGAGAAATCTTCTATTTGTTGGTCCACTCCCTCAGCAAAGGCCGGGTCAGCCAGGCTGATGCCAACAGCCCACAACTCCATCCTGGTCTCTCACATCGGTGTAGAAATCCAAAAACGTAGACTGTCTTCTACCACTTTCCCAGGCCCATGAGCACGGAGCTGGATTGGAAATGGATCAGTTGGGACTTTAACTTTTGCCCATAAGGGACTCAGGTAATTTAGTGGGTGGCTTAACCCACTGAACCACAAGAAATATCTTAACCTTTGTGCCAAATGTACACCCTCAGGGGACTTTTAAATTGAGAATCATTAACTGCCCCAAAGCAATGCTAGTTAAAAACTAATTTAGACATTTTTCCTAGAAAGAACACTTCTATAGAATGTTAAAGGCAGGAACTGATGGTTCTACTGAAAAAAAAAATTTCACTTGAGATTATAATCCAGTATCATAGTCTTCCAAATTGTTTATTTAGGAAGTAGTAAGAGGAAAAAGAAAAAATAATGAAAAAGAAGTAGAAACAAAAATGCTATAGGAAGAAGACTTACGTATGGAAGATGACATACAGACACAGAAAGACTGTTAGGCTCACAAAGCTGAACACTAGGATAGACATATATCAAGGAGAGGGACAAACACACAGGCCATGCCACATACCACTTTTATGTGGTAATGTTCCCATCTTGTGGATTTTTAGGGTATTTCCTCTAAAGGATTCCAAAATTAAATTCTTGATCATTATAAGCATAAATGGGAATGACTTCTTGGCGTACATTTGTGTCCATTGAATCCACTGAATTCAGCCAAAGACTAGAGACTAAAACACACACACACACACACACACACACACACACACACACACACACACACACACACCCCTCAGTGTGGTCCAGGACTCCTAGCACCTACACTTGGCACCTTTTCTCAATACAGTACATCGTGACTATGCACACAGAGTGGGGAGGTTATCATGGATAAAACCTTGTTGCTTCTTACCTATTTCCAGTGCCAAATCTCTTCCCTAGACTCAGCCTTCCATGTCTCTGACTCTCACTCCAATTTTTGCATCTTTCAGCATCCAGCAGTATCAGCAGTTGTTAGAAGGATCAACTACCTACTTTTGTGCTGTTCCATTCAAACTTGATGGTGGACATAGAACCCAGACTTGGCCAATCAGAGCCTAGGGTACCATGGCACTATGGTTGGTTAAAGAATGGATTGTTAGATCAAACAGTTCTCTGTAAGGGAATCTAAGTAGTGTCAAATCAAATTAACTAGATTGCTTCTCATTCATGCATTCCATTAATACACTGGTGTCAGGCATTATGAACAAAAAGCTGAGTAAAGGTTCTAGCTCTTAAGAAGCTGAAAATTCAGAAAAGACATCTAGGAGAATCAAGATGGCAGAATAGGGTAAGGACATATTTAAAGAGATGGAGAATCATTATTCAGCATGAAGCAGAGAGGGCACATTCCAGGAAATAGAAGACAGGCCAATGGCAAAGGAGACTGACGGACACAGGAAAGCAGCAGACAACAGTGTGGTGTTGCAGTAACCAGACACCCCAGGGGCAGTCGGCGAGCAGTGCTCTGAGCTCTACCAGCAGCCAGGTGGGAAGGGGAGTTCAACAGGAGCACAGGAGGTGAACTCAGGCAAAGAACTGCCCATCCTGGTGATTTGTTTGATTTGACCAGGAGCAGACACGTTAGCAGACCCCAAACAGATGGTGCAGGAACAGGGTGGATTTCACAGCCCATACCCCCACCAGAGCCACTAAGGTACCATCTTGTTGTGGAGGAAGGCAAAGGATGTAGTTTAGGACTGTGCATGCAATGACCTGAGAGCAAACTCAGTGCATTGGACTAACGTGGCATTCTACAGGTTCCATGTAATGTAGGTCTGGGTAGCCCCCAGGCCTAATG